CCATTATATATAAATATGGATGATCCGATTGAATGATACTCTTCATTTTTTTAAAAAAAGTCAGTAACTGAAAATGCGTACCTCTTCAGGAATAATAAAGTTTGTGTTTGACGGCGAAAGTGGCCAGGATGCAGTTCCCAACACAAGTACAGAGAAATCGACTTGTAAAAATAATAATAATAATAATAAGTAAAATAGATGAGATTAAAGTGTATAGGCAAATAGTAATATGTTCTCTAAAATTATATTACCTCCGTTATCCGTTTCCCCTGATGCTCTCTCTTTGAATTGATCATTAAGATCTTTACTTAGTCCCATATCAGTAAACATACGTTGTAATTTTATTAGGCGGCCATCGTCCGAATTATGAAAACTCGTAAAAAATTGAAACACGTTCATTTAGTAGAAGAAGTAATCTCCCAACTGTCGAATCGCTTTATGCCTAAAGTTTCGGAAATTAAAAAGTGTATTGACATTTTAATTGAGAAAGAATATATTGAACGTGAGGATGGGCAAAGGGATTCTTTGTCATACATTGCTTAATTTATTCTTGTTCATTAGTTGTGATCTGATATCGCTTTACGTTGTTAAAAACATATATAATATATATTTATATTATCTACTGATTTGCAATGCATAGATATAATTATTAAAATAAAACTTAATGTGTTTATTTTAGTTTTTTTTTTTTCTGATCACATGTAAATGAAAGATATTAAACAGTAATTAAATATAGTTTGAATTGAATTTCTTTTTTATGACATGATTTTCCCTGTGCCAAGAACCCTAATATCAAACAATGTACTGTATGCCATAATTATTCATATCTGATATCTATAAATTATCAAGTTGATCCTATGAAACCATTACTAATCAGTACTACTTCTTACTAAGTCAAGAACACTATTTTCCTCATCTTCACTTTCTATATCAACTTCTCTTTCAAATAACGAAATATCCACTGTAACATCGCCTTCTTCTATAAATGTGGCATCAGAATTGGCAAACGCTTCATCTTGTTCGAATAATTGTCGACCTAAATATTATAAGGACAAAGTTAGCAGTTTTAACAATACAATATTAAAAACGAAAATAGAATAAAAAGTACCAGTGAGCTTATTCTTTCTAATCTCCTCTTTTTTTAATAAAGCTAAACTTTTCGTAGCCTTTTCTTTTTCAGTCATTTCTCGTTCAAAATTCTCCTTCCATTCTAAGAATGATGCGACTGTTACTTTTGTACCTTGGAATTTTGCATTCTCTGCCTATAGAGACCACTTGTTAACATTGTTAGATAAATTAGGATAATAAAAAAATACGAAATAGATCACATAATACCTCAATTTCTTTTCTAATTCGATCTTCTTCAGCTTTCTTTCTTTGTTCTTGTCGTTCTATCACAAATGTTGTTAAGGAATCTTTGAGGAATGATAATAATGTGAATACCATTGCCATTCCTATTGAGTCCCGAGCCTTTTTGAAATTTGAAAATTAGTAAACAGTAATAAAATTAAAACTTTTGTTGTTAAAAATCTAGTTACCATATTCGTTAGGTCATTGTAAAATTTATCA